GGAAATGCCCTAAGCTCCTTACATAATATTTAGATTGGTTTAAAGTTAATTAGACCATGAATAATTCAATTAAACCCAAGGGATTACCCTTTTTTTTTTTTAAGCTTTGAATTTGGCTTTAACCATTACAAATGGGTTTGTAAAGGATTAACAAAGTTATAAAGAGAGCATAAAATCCTATGGTAGACTCGTAAGGGTCATGGGCATAGCCTAAGACAAATTAAGGTTGACCTAATCTATAAATTCCAGGGGTCCGTCATAGGATATGAGGTATCATAGGGTTTTGGATTTTTTTTATGGCTAGCCAATGCTATGTCATTAGGAATCCATCTAAGATGGTCTTGTGGGGAAGAACCTTTACTTAAAAGGATCCTATGAGCTAAGGCTGGGCACTTGAAGGTTATGTCAACCTCATTAAAAAAATGAGATCAATAAACAGTCCACTAGTTAATCAATCCTTTGATTCTCAACATACAGAACCAACTCACTCTTTGATCATTACATGTCTTGCTATAATTACTCCCTCCAAATCTAGTTGTCAAATTAGTGAATATCACAAACATTAAAGAATATTTTTCATTAGGCTTGTAAGCTTATAAATGCAATAGAGATGCATGAACTAAGGTCTAAACCAAAAAAAATTGCCAAAATCAAATTTGAGAGCTCTTGTAGCAGATAAGATTTATGTATAGATATAGAGGAGTTGGCTATGCTGTACAAACACTTCATGTTAATAGGGTATGCAGTACCTAACAAGTATTGGGCACTGACATGCATCCAACACATGATAAACACAATTGCCACACGTCTAATTAAAAAAAAAAAACTAAAAAAGAATGAACACATGTGTCCTTGCTAGAAACCTGATTAAATTTTTATTAAAAAACCTAGTTCTTCTATTTTTCATTTTCCTCTCAAGCACTTCTCTTGCAAATTTTCTTACCCTTCCTTTTCCTTTCTCACATGTTTCACAGGGGTTTTGGTCGACATTATCGAATCTACAAATCTTGCCACCAGCTTCCAAAGCTCAACTCTCATATGCTCATCTCCAAACTTTCTCTCTCCTCTTGAAACCAAAGCTTGATGCCAAAGTTTGATGACTAGCAATCTTTTCCCTCTTGATGCCAAAGATAACCCCAAAGCCTAATGAGATGATGATTAACGTCCTCTCCTCTCGAGGTTGGAGCCCGAGGTCATCCAAATAAATACTAAATAATAAAAAAGGATGAAGATGAACCATTCAGGTAAATAATCTTTAACTATAACATCTTAAATTTATCATACAATAAAAAATCATTAATAAAAGAATTCTCAAATAAGATCAATTTCATGCTATAATTTTGTCTGTCATTTGTTAAACTTATGTTATTTAATATTTTGTATACGTAGATTTAATAATATTATTTCATTTAATTTATATGCAATATTTTTAATTCTAAAAATATAAATATTATAACATCAACAATAGACTTGTCATGTGCCCGTATTGTATCATGTCTATCTCCATGCATCCTAGAGATGTAGCTATTGTAATTTCTTCCTATATATATATATATATATATATATGGATTTTAAGTTACCATATCATCATATTGAAGTTATGTATGACTACTTTAGGCATGGCATGGCTTCGTTGACTATGTATGCAACAACCCATTAACATCCTTCAATAAATTAATGGAAAGAGACACCTAATATGGTCCATAGAAATCAGCTGGAAAATTGCCAATATAAACAATAAAAAAAACTAAGCAAAAACAATAAAAAAAAATAAAAAAGAAAATATCAATATTCATGGCGGTTACCATTGTTTCAATATATCAAGCTCATAATTATTAATTGTTTGGCTCATAGATAAAAATGACTCCTCATCTGAACTTTTATTTCTTCTACTGTTCTTTTCTGTAGATCTTATTGATTACTTGAACTCAGAAACATTTGAATTTGGAAACCTGAAAATAGAGATTAGCCATATTGTTCTTGTTATTAAAGCCAACAAATTATAAGTGGAAAAATGGTAAATATCACATGACTATTCTATACAAATAAAATTTATTCTTCGTTTGAGGCAGTTTTCTTTCTGCTATCTACAATAGTTTTTAGCATAAAAATTTTTTAAAAGCTGTGGAAAAATAGTGACAAAATGTTGCCCCAAATAAAGCGTTAATTTTCAGCTTAACATAATTAAATGCATGTAATATGTCAATAGTTTGTAATTTCATAGTCATATTGATTGTGTTCAAAGCAAATGCCTCACATTCTATGTTGAAAGAGTAATTGATTTTTTTTTTTTTTAAATTGGCTATTCTCATTGATGCTCTCTCTATCATCCATATGAATTTATGTACAAGTTCCTAACTTCATTAAGTTTGTTCCTTTTGTATTACAAGCCTATTAAATATTTTAATGGTTGGACTTAATTCTTATAATAATTTGTTTTTTTTTTGTAAAAATGTTATTTTAGTGTTTTTAAAATTTATTGAAAAATAAAAAAAATAAATGCTTTCTAAGAACGAGGCTGTTTGATTCCCTAATAATTTTGATGTCATGTGAATAATAGAACTTTATTTAATTCATTGGTGTTGGGAGATTATAGTTTTAGTAGATCTAAAATTAAACATATATAATTTTAGTAGTAATAGATCTAGTGAGGGTGATTGTGACTTTGGATGATCAAGTCATTAATAAGAGTACATGTTTTTGATATCTTGGGTCTATTGTTCAAAATGATGGTGAAATAGATGGGGACATTATTAGTAGAATTCAAGTTGGATGGTTAAAGTGGAGGAATGCATTATTAGGTCTATTGAGTGATAAAAAAACACCTTTTAAACATAAGAAAAAATGTTATAAGATGGTGGTGAGACCTGCAGCGCTTTATGGCATAGAATGTTGTCCATTAAAAGAGAAGCGTAAAATTAAATTAAGTGTTGCAGCAATGAGAATGCTAAGGTGGATAAGTTACTTCACTCTTACAGATAAAATGTGAAATGAGTATATATGTGAAAAGGTTGGAGTAGCTTCAATGGTTGATAAGATTAGAGAGAGTTGCCTTAGATGGTTTGGACATATAAAATGTTAGCCTTCCGATGACCCAATTAGGAGAATATATGTGTTGAATTTGACCTATGTTAACAAAGGTAGAGGTAGACTTAAAAAATATTTGGTTAAAATATTAGAAATGACCTATTTGCATTAAAATTAAATGAGAATTTGACTCTTAATAGAACACAATGGAGAAAAAAGATTAATCTAGCTAATCCCACGTAATAGGATAAATGCTTGATGTTATTATTGTTGATGTTAGGAGATAGCAATGATACATATGCTATTATACAATCAAAATTAATACTATATAGCTAGTCTTATTTGGTCAAATTTGAGTAATAATCATGGGGGTAAATTGTATGATTTTTCCTCAACTTTAGTCATAAAAGAATATCAGAGACTTCTAAATTTTTTAATTTTTTTTTGCGAGTTGAATGCAATGACATAAATTTTAATTTGTGTCAACTAGGTTCATTGATAAAAGTCAAGAGATTTCGTGACATGGCTCGGCGATCGAATCTTGTCTATGCTAGATTTATGCTTGGACATTCAACATTTCAAAACTATATAATATATACAATATCTGCATTTATAACAATAAAGCTAGAGCTTAAAAAAAACCAAACCATACTTCAAATTGGCCTTCATGCTCTGCTTCAACTTCTTTCCCACCTCTCTTCTTCCCCTCTCCTTCCCCTTTCCCTGAAATATTTAGAGGAAAAATGAATGTGTAATCCATCATTAAAACTCCATTAGTGTCCTTTAGATCATATGTTTCATTCTATCTGCAATATGTCGCTCTTGAGCCCCACATATGCATCCAACAAAATATTTCTTTAATGAGCTAGCTCAAAGTTATAAATTTGAACTCATACTCGATTAGTTTGTCAAGCTCAAAGTTGAGGTTAGGGGTGACTTGAGTTCAACTTAATTCATTTACACCCTAACCTCAAAGGATAGTACGTAATTTTAATAATATTAGATAGTTCATGGAGCTGTTCCGAGCAAAAGAAAGTCGTCGGTGACCAAGAATTGCTCTTCTTGAATCTACTCTTCAGCAAGAAAAATAGGATCAAAATTTTTTTCTTGACTCTAAAATATTGTGAGTGTCATTATTTGACTTCTACAAAATGTTGGAGAAAAAAAATTATGAATCACAGTTAAGAGCTGTGGTAAAGCGGTTGATAAATTTTTTTTCTTCTATCATTGATCTTGATTGAAGAGCATTATCTTACACTAACCAAGTTAAAATTTGGCCTCAATGTCTTACTTTATATTATTTATTTTTAGGTTATTCAGTTTTTGAATGCTTAATTCTTATGCTCAAATTTGAGTTGGTTCCGTTGGCTTATGTTTTGTTTGAGATAATTTTTTAAAGCAATTTTTTTGTACAAAAATTTCTATATTGAAAGATGTTTTAGAAAATAGTAAGAAAATCATCCCAAACGAAATCTTAGTTAGAGAAAATCATAAAAACTGTTATATTAATTGATATTGTAACCATAATTATTAATTACCTAGCATGGAGCTTATTGGTTTGGAGATTTGTCTTCATCCATGCATGCGATTAAGTGTTGAGTGCCGGTGACTTGTGAGGGAGAGATTATTACGTATTGTCCGGACCGTCCGGAGGCGAATTCGGACGCACCGCGTCACTTGGATGCACTGGGCCCCGGATGACGTGGCACGTCAGGATTCGCCTCCGGACGAATCCGGATGCCGCACATAATAATTTTTCCTTGCGAGGTGTGTGAGTTCGCCCAGAAGATTAAAAAAATCTAAATATTAAAAAATTCGCATTTAATATAAATAAAAAATTAATGTTTAGCAACTAAGTTAGCACCTAAATCCCTACTACAAAATTTCCGATCTTTTATTAAATCAAAGATAGGATCATATGCTTGATTCTTGCTTGTATCAGTTACTCGTCTTCAGCTAGATATTTTATATATTAAGTCCAGGTTTAGTCCTCCGCTAATAGGATACACCCTTTTCTTCCTGATGTTGCTAATTCCCACAGTTTCCTGCCTATTTCATCAACCCTCCTCGCTTCATCCCCCCTTCCTCTTGCCAAATCTCTTCAGTTTCGTGATAAAGATGCAATCTTGCTACAAAAAATCTCTCCTTTCGTGATAAGAGTTCTGAGACCGGAATCGCATGCAGAGAGAACGGGAAGAGGGAGTGTAGACTAGAGATCTACTGAGCCTTGAACCCCATGGGAAATACATGTGTCGGCCCAAGCTTCTCCAAGAATGGAATTCTGCAATCCTTTACTGCAACCCTTTGGCCTACCCAAGCACAGGATGATGCATTACCCCCCATGAAAAGCGGCGATTCTGGAAACGAAACTTCTTTAACTGTCGAAAACAGACCTCCGGAGCAGGTTAAGATCCAAGAAGCTAAATTTCCAGCAGCTGAGGCGAAGCTCCCATCTGATCCGCCTCCTAAAAAACCACCAAAGAAGCCGATACATGGAAAGAGAATCTCAAGTGCTGGTCTTCTTGGTTCTGTATTGCGGCGAAAAACTCAGAATTTAAAGGAGATTTATAGCTTAGGAAAGAAGCTTGGGCAAGGACAGTTTGGAACTACTTACTTGTGTGTGGAGAAGGTTACTGGGAAAGAGTATGCTTGCAAATCTATAGCTAAGAGGAAATTGACTACTGAAGATGATGTGGAGGATGTGAGGAGGGAGATTCAGATAATGCATCACTTGGCCGGCCATCCGAATATTATTTCAATCAAGGGAGCTTATGAAGATGCTGTGGCTGTTCATGTTGTGATGGATTTGTGTGCTGGGGGTGAGTTGTTTGATAGGATAATTCAGAAGGGGCATTATACAGAGAAAAAGGCTGCAGAGCTTACAAGGGTTATTGTGGGTGTTGTGGAGGCTTGTCACTCTTTGGGGGTTATGCATCGAGATCTGAAGCCAGAGAATTTTCTTTTTGTTAATCAGTCTGAGGAGGCTCTTCTCAAGACAATTGACTTTGGGCTGTCTATATTTTTCAAACCTGGTAATTCTTCTTTTGTTTTGGATTTGTTACTTTTGTGTAATCTTAAATGCATGTTTGAGTATCAACCTTAAAATTCGAGGTAATCTCCTTATTGCTTATGTTTGCTGATTATTTCCTTTGAGTACTGTATATTGCCTCATTCAGTTGAGGATACAATGTCATATATATTCTCCATAGGAGTAAAAGCTTGTAAGGAAGACATTTTGTAAATTTTATTGGAATGTTAGGTGAAGAAGAAACTGTGTATTTGTAACTATGTATTAAATAACTAGATATTCCTAAATGTGATGGACAATAAGGTAGTCTATCAACATCTTACAAAAGGAATAGCTGGACATATACATTAAAATCCCAACCTTCCCTTGACCCTTGATCCCACGGCCAGGATGGGGATCCGGGGGAGGCTCACCTAGATCACGTTGATCTCCTTACATATTCGGGTGGGTGATTTAGCAAGGATTTTATTAGGGCAATTATGCATGATTCCGTATTTATTTGTTTCTTTATTAAGGTATCTTGTATAAATCTATTGGGATAGTTTTATATAATGAAATATAAAAAATATTTTCCCTCTCCAATTCTCTAAGTTTAACATGGTATCAGAGTAAGCGAGGGAGTGAGCAGGAACTAATGCGTACGTGCGTGCCTTAGTGGAGATGACTGACTCTCATGTGTGTGTTGGAGCCAAACCGAGCAAAAAACGAGCGATTGAAGAGCTATTGTACACGCCATTAAATCCTCGACTCGAAGAGCCCCTCCCCTCGCCCCAAATCTCGACCGCTTTTGCATGTTCCCGATCCACTACCCTTTGATTTGGGAGATGTACAAGAAGGCCGCAGCCTTCTGGACATTAAAAAAAAAAATCGACCTCTCTTAAGATCTCCGCCACTGGATCAACCCCTCAAATCGAACGAACGCCACTTCGTAACCCACATTCTCACCTCCTTCGCTACCATTGATGAAATTGTTATTGAGAACCTTGCCGATCGGATTCAGACTGAAGTCAGTTTACTTGATTCGAAGCTCGTCGATTAAATAGTGCTGACATGTGGAGTTGCCCAGATGATGCACATAGCGGGGAAGAATATGGCTTTCTTGGTTGTAAGACAATTTACTGCTACGGTTTAGTGCATGCTTATAGTGACTAAAGAGTTGGTGAGCATGTAGATGGTGAAGTACGCTACTTCCCTAAGTAGGGAGTCGATCATGGATATCGAGGGTGAGGATACAAAGAGATTAGAAGCACTTTATCCTACTTTGAAGGAGCTGGTGCTTGTTGGTTCTCAAGGTTCCCACCACCAGCCTTTATTGTTGGAATTATGAGGAATGCAGGTTCCCACCATCGGCCTTCATTACCAAAATTCTGAGGAATACTAGTCCTTCCATCGGCCTTCATTACCAAAATTATGAGGAATACTAGTCCTTCCATTGGCCTTCATTTCCAAAATTGTAAGAAATATTGGTCTTTCTACTTCCTTCATGCGTCCAAAACTGTGGAGAGATCGAGTGGGAGGGTTCCTTTTGCATGCAACGTCCAGAGTCGATCGAGCAGAAGCGAGAGAAGTCGAGCGTTGGACCTCTTGTGTGCGTATGAAAAGGGTTGAGAGTTCAAGGACAAGCAAGAGTGTAAGACCTGCACTCTTTCCTGCGATCAGACCTGAGGGATCAGAGGCCTTGCATTCACCTATATGGGGTCGAATAAACAGGAGTGTTCGGGTGGAGTCGGAAGACTGATTTGCATTGGGGGAAAGGCTCACTCTATTGGGTGGGAGGAGATTTGTGTGCCAAGTGCTGAGCCGCTTGAGACGTGTTTTTCTGTTGTTGTCCTTGAAGCTTGCCTCAACCCTAAAAAACATATTTTTTTCTATTGTCGTTCCTTTATTGCCGACCTTCCCTTGTAGTTGTTATCACATCTATAACCAATGTAGCCTTCATTGCTGCCCTACTTAATATAGCCTTCATTATTACGCTTTGTCACCGCAATGTCTAAAGCTAATTTCTCTCAAAGTTTTGACCAAATAGAGGACTCTATGGTGCACCAAGTGACTTGATAAATCTACTTTTCTGTGACTAATTATCAAGCTAGGAATGATAAATATGGATTCCCCAACTTGAGGGGTAGTGTTAAAATCCCAACCGTCCCTTGACCCTGATCCCACTATGAGGATGGGTATTTGTGGGAGGCTCACCTGGATCACGCTGATCTCCTTCCATATTTGGGTGGCTGATTTAGGAAGGATTATTTTAGGGCAATTATGCATGATTCCATATTTATTTGTTTCTTAATTAAAATATCTTGTACAGATCTATAAATAGGGATAGTTTTGTATAATGAAATAAAAAAAGTATTTTCCCTCTCCAATTCTCTAAATTTAACAATATATTAGTAGGCTAAAACCAGCTAGTTATATGAATTTTTAGATGCTGCTGTCTCACTAACTTTATAACTACCTATAGTACTCTGTAAGTCAAATCCTTACACATTTGTGCCTCATTATTTTAGTTTCTTAAGTTAATATTCAATTTGCTTAGTGTGAGTGGCATATCAGTAAGTGATGCATGCGTACAACTGTAATATCAACTTAGATTCTCTTAAATAACTCATCTTCTATCAGATTTTGCAGATCATTGGTTTTTTAGTTTTCATGGTACAAATAAGAATTTTACATACTAAAAGGTTTGTGCCTATATTTCTGGTCAAGTTGGCCTATGATGGCATACAACAACAACAAATCTTTATGCCACTACATGGGGTCGGCTACATTAATCCTTATGATTGCATACGATAAGAAAATCTTATCATGATTACTTGTAATACATTTGCTTATAGCTTTTTTTGCTAATATTTCTTTCCAATGATAATTTATCCTCTTTTAATTGGGTGCTGAAATGAAGATGCGTTTTATTGGCATTGAGTTTTCGATTTGGCGTTGCTGTGGTCTCTTGTACTGTGCTGTATAATGCTGTGTTTCGCTGTGCTTGCCAAGTTAAGGTTAATTATTGCTGGTAAAATCATGTTAAGATTGCTTGATAAAGTTACATAAGATAGTTGTTGTTTGGTTAAAATTAGCTATGATCATGATATGAATTGATTGAATGATTACAATGAATTTGATTATGAATGTTTTTTATAATTATAACCTAATATCCTAATCATAATAATTATTTAAATTACTAAGAAAGCTGAAATCCATTAGACTCTTATGTGGGAAGCTACACAACATCTTAAATCTGCTTCTGTTGTTCGAGGAAGTCAAAGTAGACATAAAAAAGGTATGCCACAGAACCCAAATCAACATTATCACTTTTTCCCACTTAAGCTCTACATACCTTGGACCATTTGATAATTTAATTAAGCGTTTTGAAATTTGATATCAATCTTAGGTGATTAAAAGTTCAATTTTGCATCTATCTTCATAACATTTGTTTTGATGTTCAACATTTGTATTTTCTTCTTTGTAATTTTTAATTGGTGGCTATTCATTTCAGGTGACATGTTTTCTGATGTGGTTGGTAGTCCTTACTATGTAGCACCAGAAGTTCTTAGAAAGCGGTATGGTATTGAGGCAGATGTTTGGAGCGCTGGGGTGATTATTTATATCCTTCTTAGTGGTGTCCCTCCTTTTTGGGCAGGTTTTGATCTTTACCAATATTTTCGATATGCTTGTTGTTTCGATTTCGTCTTGATTTTTCAACCTTTTAAGCTAACTTATGCTTCTGATTTTGTTATCAATAGAGTCCGAACAAGGTATTTTTGATGAGGTTCTGCATGGTGATCTTGACTTTGAGACTGATCCATGGCCTAGCATCTCAGATAGTGCTAAAGATCTTGTGAAGAAAATGCTTGTAAGAGATCCTAAAAGGAGGTTGACAGTTCATGAAGTTTTGTGTGAGTTCTCAATCTTAATTTCTGTTAGACAAAAGTATGAAGGAAATTTTCTATTTTACTTTTTTTTTATGTAGATTTCTTTTTCACCTTGGTATGTTTGGGTGGGGAAGGGGGAGGATTAGGGGTGTTAGTTCGGGTTTATGAGTCAAGTTTGGATCCACCTTTAAAAGAAGATTAACACGATATAGTTATTCCGTATTCAACTTGTTTATTAAACGGGTTAAAAATTGAAACCTAAATCTGATCTTATACAACAATAACAACATCAAGTGTTTATCCTACTATGTGCGGTCGGGTACATGAATCCTATTTTTCCATTTTGCCCTATTAAAAGTTAAATTCTCATTTAAATCTAATAAAAAATGTCATTTCTAATATTTTCTAACCAAGTCTTTTTAGGTCTACCTCTACCCTTCTTAACATAAGTCAAATCTAATACATCCACTTTCCTAACCGGGTCATCGGAAGGCCGTCGTTTTATGTGACTAAACCATCTAAGGCGACTCTCTCTAATCTTATCTTACACTGGAGCTACTCAAACCTTTTCACGTATACACTCGTTTCATATCTTGCTCTAAGAGTAAAGCCACTCATCCACCAGAGCATCCTCATCTCTGCAACACTTAACTTAATATTATGCTTCTCTTTTAATGGTTAATATTCTGCACCATAAAGCATTGTAGGTCTAACCGCCATCTTATTATAATTTAACCTTAAGTTTGAGGAGGACTTTTCTATCATTTGAGTATTTCACAAAAAAAAAAAAAAAAATCTAACACTTAAGTCATTATTTTCAGGTTGACCCAAACCTGAATCAACCAGAATCCAACCCAATTTTTTTCGAGTAAAAAAAATAGATATGAATATGATCCAAAATTTATACATTTTGACCCGAGCCTAAAATTTTCATTTCAGATTCAATTCATGTTTTTTTATTAGGTCTAATGTTGACACCCCTATGGAGTTAAAACAATAAATAATCAAGAATGCAGATAAGATTTCGTAAAAATCATTGTTCTTATTGTCATGTCTTTATTACATATATTTTATAAATCTATTCTGAAACTTTGGTTGAAGTGGAGGAATGCATCAGGCTTGTTGTGTGATAGAAAAGTATCCCTCAAACTTAAGGAAAAATTCTATAAGATGGTAGTGAGGCCTGCAATGCTTTATAGTGTTGAATGTTGGCCATTAAAAGAGAAGCATAATACTAAGTTAAGTGTGGCAGAGATGAGGATGCTCAGGTGGATGAGTGGCTTTACCCTTATAAATAGGATACAAAATGAGCATATACGTGAAAAGGTTGGAGTAGCTCCAGTAGAAGATAAGATTAGAGAGAGTCGACTTAGATGGTTTGGTCACATAAATCGGCGGCCTTCCAATGACCCGGTTAGGAGAGTAGAGGTATTAGATTTAACTTATGTTAAGAAAGGTAGAGATAGACCTAAAAAGACTTGGTTAGAAAATATTAGGAATGACCTTTCTTTATTTGATTTAAACGAGAATTTCACCTTCAATAGGACACAATGGAGAAAAAAGATTCATGTAGCCGACCCCACGTAGTGGGATAAAGGCCTTTTGTTGTTGTTGTTGTTCTGAAACTTTGGTGCAATTTTATTTTGCAGGTCATCCATGGGTTCAAGTTAATGGTGTTGCTCCCGACAAGCCCTTAGATTCTGCAGTCTTAACTCGCATGAAGCATTTCTCTGCAATGAACAAGCTCAAGAGGATGGCTCTGAGGGTAAGTTCCTAGAAAGCGTTGACTTCATAACATTAAATATTATCGAAGATTAACTGTTGTTAATGTGATGTGCACATGAAAGCAACTTTTAATATTAAAATATTAATTTACTATTTGACAATGTGTAGGTTATCAAATGCTATTTATTTGTTATAGTGTTATTTATCTAATCTTTATCTGTTTGATTCAGTGTTCTGATGATGACATCAATATGCAGAAACTAGGATTGACATAAGATTTACATGTTTATAATATAATGGTGTGTTTGTGTAAAACTCATCTAGTTTGGCCTTTTAGTGAAAAAATATTATAATTTCAAAATTTTACAACCAAAGACGACAACCTGTCCTATTTTATCAGCAAGGTCAACTTACTTTTTTCTTATGCCAGAGTTTCTTAAACCTTGACATTATTACTTAGTTTTCTCTTGAAACTCCAACAGTACCACTAAAGTTTGCTATTAAACTACTATAGTGTAATACTAGGATTTCATAAAAATCCGAAGTAGTATTGCGAGGAAGGCCAAATTGTATAATTTAATGATTTCAACAGACTAAAGCTTCGTTTGGGATGGTTTCTTAATGCTTCTTAAAGTAGCTTTTTAGTACAAAAAATTTAATTTTTCTATTAAAAAATTGCTTTAAGAATCAGTAAGAAAGTTGTCCCAAACGAATCCTAAATGTTTGACATCTTCTAGTGGCATAATATTGCACAACGGATGTTAATGAATTTGATTACGTTTTTGTGTAGCAATAACAACAATTTTTTTTTTTTAACCTTGCTAGTTTAGTTGGTGGTCAGCATGAGTTGTACTGTTGCATGTTTCTTTCGCCTTACTTTACTTGGCTTAATGCGCTTGTGGCTGCATGTTAACACAGTTTTGATTAATTTCAAATGTTTTAGATCAGCACAGGACTTGAGATACCCTTTTTATACTTTCTATTTCTTCATAATTTTCCTTTGCTGCAACTGAAAAAAAAGTTATTTTTGCTGACAGATGCTAATTTTTTGGTTTATGAATATTTCTTTACACTTAAAAAAATTTCAAATTGGGATAATTAAATCCACAGCCCTCTTCTTCAATTTGAATTGTATTTATAACTCTCTTCTACATTATAAAGGTATAGATGACTTCCATATATGAGGGTTATATGCATATATTTATATGTAAGATTTAAGAGATAATTTAGTGGTTCTTAAGGTTATCTGTATATTCTTCAAGTCATGAGGGTTAAATTCTAATTTCAAATATTGAGTTGAGGTAGTTAATTGCCACTTCTATATATGTTTTTGACATGAGATTTACATGTTTATAATATAAAGTGTGTTTGTGTAAAACTTATGTAGTTTGGTCTTTTAGTGAAAGAATATAATAATTTCAAAATTTTACAACCAAAGACAATAACCTGTCCTATTTTATCAGCAAGGTCAACTTACTTTATTCTTATATCAGAGTTTCTTAAAATCTGGCCATTATTACTTAGTTTTCTCTTGAAACTCCAACAGTACCACTAAAGTTTGCTATTAAACTACTATAATGTAATACTAGGATTTCATAAAAATCCCTATTAGTATTGCAGGGAGGATGGCCAAGTTATATAATTTAATGATTTCAGCAGACTAAAGCTTCATTTTTCATTTGGGACGGTTTTTTAATGCTTCTCAAAACAACTTTTTAGTACAAAAAATTTAATTTTTATGCTAAAAAGTTGGTTTAAGGAACAGTAAGAAAGTCGTCTCAAACGAAGCCTAAATGTTTGACATCTTCTAGTGGCATAATATTGCACAGCAGATGTTAATGAATTTGATTACGTTTTTGTGTAGCAATAACAGCAAAATTTTATTTTTTAACCTTGCTCGTTTAGTTGGTGGTCAGCATGAGTTGTACTGCTGCATGGTTCTTTGGCCTTTCTTTACTTGGCTTAATGCGCTTGAGGATACGTTTTCACACAGTTATGATAAATTTCAAATATTTTAGAGCAGCACAGGACTTGATATACCTTTTTTATACTCTTTTTCTTCATAATTTTCCTTTGCTGCAACTGAAGAAAAAAATTATTTTTGCTGACAGATGCTAATTTTTTGGTTTATGAATATTTCTTTACACTTCAAAAAAATTTCAAATTGAGATAATTAAATCCACAGCCCTCTTATTCAAATTGAATTGTATTTATAACTCTTTTCTACATTATAAAGGTATAGATGACTTCCATATATGAGGGTTATATGCTTATATTTATATGTAAGATTTAAGGGATAATTTAGTGGTTCTTAAGGTTATCTTTATATTCTTCAAGTCATGAGGGTTAAATTCTAATTTCAAATATTGAGTTGAGGTAGTTAATTGCCACTTTTATGCATGTTTTTTAGTGGTTGGTGAATTGTTATATTGTTAAAGTTATTATTATTATTATTATTGGCTGAAATTTCCAAAAAAAAAAAAATTTTCTTTTTTTAGGTGATCGCAGAGAGCCTATCTGAGGATGAAATTGCTGGCCTGAAGGAAATGTTCAAGATGATAGACACTGACAATAGTGGACATATAACCTTTGATGAACTAAAAGTTGGATTAGAAAGAGTGGGTGCAAACCTCAAGGAGTCAGAAATTTATGCTCTCATGGAAGCTGTGAGTGCTACTTTGCAATTTTGTTTTCTCATTATCTTTTAAATAAGCTTTCCACTACAAAATCAGAATTATGAGCATTACCAGAATAAGCTAATTTATTTTCATCTCATATGTTGCACATAAAGACTACTGCCTTTGCTTCAGATCTCAGATCTCATTACTATTGTTACTTGCTACATATTATTTTTCCATCATTATATCATCATGGAATCATCAACATCTTCCTTATTCCAACTATTTTGATTTGGCTTTATGCATTTTATTCTACATTCATTTTCTTACTTGTTGGGTGATGTCTTTATCTCTCATCATCGCCATTGTTAGCCTATTATCTCAAATATTTGAGGTTGGCTTTATGAATCATTATTTTTCTTCATTCTCGACTAAGTTGATCCCTCCCATGCCCTTCATAATCCTTCCAGTTCTACCTACATGCAACTTACGCCTTCTTATGTTATGGCTTAGTAGCTCTGATTCTCATTGATTGTATTTTTGTAGGCTGATGTTGATAACAGTGGAACCATAGACTACGGTGAATTTATAGCTGCAACTGTACATCTAAACAAAATAAACAGAGAGGATCACTTATTTACAGCCTTCTCCTATTTTGATAAGGATGGAAGTGGTTACATAACTAGAGATGAACTCCAACAGGCCTGTGAAGAATTTGGTATGGAGGATTTAAGATTGGAGGAAATTATCAAAGAAGTTGATCAAGACAATGTAAACTTCTTGACATTTGGTTATCTCAAATCCTTAAAAATTAGCAATGTTGTGTGATTAATTTTTAGGAGAATTTACATGCAGACCATACAATTCTTAGTTATTTACATCTAACACCTAAATTGTTATATTTATTTGTGTAATACTTAAATATCTAAATCACATCAAAATATATGAATGAAAATATGAATTTTACTTAATATAAATCAATGTTAGTAGTATTTCTTGATGTGATGTAAATATTATGATGCTATGTAAGAAAATATAGCTATGTATATCTACCTCTCCTTAGATTTACGCTAGCGGTTCTTGTGGTCGATATTATCTATAAATTTTAGTGATTTTTAATTTTATTTTTTCGTGCAGGATGGTCGCATCGATTACAATGAATTTGTCGAAATGATGCACAAGGGTAGTGCGGGATTTGGAAAGAAAGGCTTGCAGAATAATCTGAGTGTTGGACTTAGGGAGGCTTTGAGGCTTGTTTAATCAGGAAGGATTATACATTTTTGTTATGAGTTTTTTTTTTTCTTCTGTTTTTAGGAAATGTAAAGATTGATTGAGAGCTTGGATTGAGAAGCACAATCAAGTTTGCTGTATTTATACTGAATCCATCAAATCTTGTATGATGATTTGTTTGCATAAAGAATGAAAAAATGTGAAGCTTCTACTTTATAATTGTTTCTTCTTGTCTGAAATTTCATTGTACTTGTAATTTAAAGTGTCAACATTTGCAAAGCTTATATTTTTATTTTAATGTTGCTTTCAAAAAGATTATTCAGATGCAAAGGGAGCTTTATGCATGGTTTCCATCCATCTTCAATGTTTGTTAAGAGTAATGTTGATCTAAATTGAACCGTTCGAATTCATCTCTTATACAAGTAAGATGAATACTTACACATACTGAACTAATATTCTCACCAATATGCGATTGTCAAAAGCTTAGAGAGTCAATGGCTGTCAATTTTTTTCTTTTCAGTTTATTAAGTTTATTTTTATTTAAGTCCAGTTCATCATTATTTGCTTAAGTTTAGGTCCCCTGTCACTATAAAATTTGGCGGCATCCCGACTTCTCCCCCATTTAAGAAAAAATTCAAGAGTTCGGGCCTCCCGTCATGCTAGACAAAAGCATGTATAGTAGGTGCCAAATGACACTGCGGAAATAAATCTTAAATTTCATCATGTCAGAGAAAGACATGTATGGGCCTTCGGGGTACCAATTTAAAAATGCAAAACTTTTCCCCCGCTATGCTACATGAGCGCTTAAGGGTACTTAAAAGTGTCCTCGCCATGCTACAAGAGCGTGTATAGGGCCTACTCGTCTCGTCGTAGGCCCCACACTGAGTTCCCTTCCCATCAAGATAGAGAAAAGCACGTATGGGTAGTTTTCCAGTGCGACACGAACGCCGATTGCGGTGTTAAGTTTAGAATATTATACCTTTGCGATGTGACGATTGATGGGGCGGCTGTAGCAATACCAAAAAAATGCACAAACATTGTTTTTTATTTTTCTTTTGAATTTTTTTTTTAACTCTTCCTTTTTTTTTGTCTTTTTCTTTTATATATATATAGAGACACACTATTTTTTTTAATCTTAATAAGAACCACTATAACAATGATAGCATTAACCATGAATGTAACAACGATAAATGCTATTAGTGCTACATCAATTCAAGGAGAAATGAAGAGAAATTAACCTTATGCTATTTAGAGGATAGAGATGCAATAGTGTGGGCTGATTGGAGTTTAGATGGGCTATGAAATGGGCTGAAATTTATGTGCTGTAGAACTATTTTGAGTGGGAGGTATTGATAAGTTGTTAAACAGGCCGGAGGTGAAATTAGGCTTACTGTTTGGGTCGAGTTAGTGGAGGAGTGGGTTGGAAGCTATTTGGATGTAAGGGGCTGTTGGACTTTGAAGTAATCAGTAACTAGCCGCATGGTAGAGCAGCTATTTGGCAAAAGGTATGCATATTTTTTATATGATATATATATTTTTTATTTTCTTTAGGGGTTAAGCATGGGGAGTATTTATTTTATTTGTAAAAAAGAAGAATGATATAATACACATGATTATAAGGAATTAAATAAAGTCATTATCAAGAACAAGTATCATTAGCTATGAATCCATGATTTATTTGATCATCATGTTAGATCTTTTGTATCCTGCGTACATTTTCTAAGTTTCGATTTCTACCATTTTATTTCTTTTAATTAAATTTAATTATATTTTTTCCTAATTTAGTAAACTTCCACTTCATAACTTTTTGTATGTTATAATACTGATTATTTTAATCATTTTGACTGGTTGATTTATATTTTTAAATGTTAAAATAATAAATATTATATTTTTATATGATTTGAATAGAATAGAATAAATCACAATATTTGCTCGAATAATATGCTCGTTTTCTATATCGATTTTATAGTCGTTTGAAACTTTTATTTTTTGGAAACGGGTTATCATCCCACTGCCACTCCCTTAGGAGGCACTTGGTGGCGTAACTGATCTCTTGGCTGACCTAAAAGAGGCATCTATCCCAGAAACTTCTTGGCCCGTACTTGATTGGACCACACTTAAGAGACGCTGCCGCTTGATGAGATTTGAGATAGGTTGGGGGTACCTAAACACACTCGCCCACTAACTAAGTTAAGCATTCGTGGTAGCCGTTTGAAACTTATATCTTTTATTAGATGTATTCACCTCTATTTTGCTATAAATACTCACATGCACTAACATTTCACGCTCAATTAAGACTCTTAAATCTTCCATTCTTCTATATCAATCTTTATGCGAACACTTGAAACGACAAGCAAGCATCGTATATCCCGAAGGGCGACATTCATTTCAAGACCATTGCTAACAAGTCATGCATTGCTCTACATGAAATGATAAATACTATATGAAAGATTTTCTAGCAATATTAGCTTGAAATCTATAAATAATGATCTTCCAACACTAGGAGTGTAAGTGGGCCGACCGGTTCGAGCTCAACTCGTTAATAAGTTTGTAAGTCGAGCTTATCGAGCCACGAGTTCAAGCTCGAGGCTATACTTGAGCTCATATATTAAATGAGCTTGAGCTCAAGCTCAAGCTCAAGGCTGGTTGGCTCGAAAGCTCGTTAAGCTGCTCGATTAAATAAAAACGTATTTAATAATTAATTTAAATTAATATTATATAATATATTTCAATAATTTTAAATAAATTCAATATTAAAATTTAGAAAAAAAATAATACTTTTTTTAATTTAAAATTAAGAAATCGAGATCAACAATCGAGTTGAGCTTGAGCTATCTAAATAAGCTTGAGTTATTAACAAGCCTATGAATTTTTTTAACAAGTCAAGCTCGAGCTCAATAACAACTAAACAAGTTTAGCTCGATCAGACATATACTTGACTCGACACTTTTACACACCTATCCAACATGAACAATGAAAGCAGCAATAACAACATTATCAGAAGACAAATCATCTACAACTTTGGGGTCAATTTGAATATACTAGAGATTTTGGGCATCACCTCCTTGAATCAAGGATCCTCCCGCGCATATTTTCATATTTTGTTAATTTGTTCTTTATGTATGTGCACACATATCAACATTCGAACTTTGTATATATAGTTATTTGCGCGCATATTGATATACTAAGTAGTGATTACCCATGCACTCATTTACTTGAAATTATTAAATGCTTGATCAGTAACTTGATATATCATTCACCTATTGTATCATGCTATTATGAACTAGTTAATACTTATTATTTCATCAAAATTATGTCAAATGAAAAGATTAGTTTAATTCATCAAATTATATTAATCCACTACATAAATATTTTAGCTCCCATTAGTTCTATATCAATCATGAGTATGATGTAATCTTATATTTTTAGTAAAAATAATGTCAAATTCAAATCGAATTCACTCAAAATTCTCTATCAAAATCCTATATTTTTTTTTCTTAAGTCCATCTTTAAGCTTGGTTTGACTCTCCCATTGATTTAAATTTCATTTATTACAATATTCTTATTGTTTTCTAAATTAACTTCTTAGTAGAATTTTTTTTTTTGTTCAAAAGAATGTTTGAAAATTTTCTAAATTTTTTTGTTTAAAAATAAGACAATTTCCATGAATATTTTTTTTCTATCCAATATGTTCAAAATTTGCAATTTATAATATTTCAATAAAAAAACTTTTAATTCAACAATTCATTTTTTGGGAAGATTCAACAATTCATGATGTAAGACATTGCATCTAACTAACATTAAAAAAAAAATCAAAATATAATCTAAATTATTCAAATTAATAGTCATAAAATTTGATAATCACTAATTATGTCGCAAAAGAATTTGTATTATATTCCAAACAGATATAGCACAATCCCGATCGACGGGCCCACTTATTATAATCATTTTGTAAACAAACAATTACAAACATATCGTCCAAATTTCTTTTTGCAAAATAGTAATTTAACAAAACAAAATACCATTTTTTGATTTTTCTATACACAGATAGGACCTCTCCACCACTCCGACAGATGAGACGTCGCAAAAAGTAACTTTTTTTTTTTTTTTTTTTGTTATTTTTTTTTTTTTTTTTTTGTGGGCAGCAGCAATTCAAAAGCCTACTCCTGCATTACGCAAAGAATAAGCGTTTTGCTTCTTACCGTCAGTTTGCTTTTCTGCCAGCTCTCCCTCTCTCTATTCACAAGTGGTAAAGCGAGACCGATCAATGAAAGCACCGAGCACGCGGCAACTCAACTCCATCAATTTTCCTGCAGTTTAAGATGAAAAATAAAAATTATTAGGGATGCAAATGTAATATTACAAGTTTTCTTTGAGGACATTTTATATGCCAGCAATAATAATAGGAGGATTTACATACATACCACTTTATTTCATGTTATTTATATATCTATGTCTATACATAAAACAAATATGAGTGTATGGAACGAAACATTAAAGTTTATAGAATGGTAGAGATAGTAAGAATGAAATATATGAATGATATATTTGATATTAAAATTATATATGAGTGATAATATTGAAATATTAAACTTTTGGATGCTAGATATGTAAATGAAATGAAATAAAGTGGTATGTATGTAAATCCCCCATAATAATATCGAGCCTTTCAACCAACTGGGCGAGGCCGATTACATGAATATTTTTTTCCTCATTATGTTAGATTAAAAGTTAAATTATCACTTAAATCTAATAAAAAGATGTCATTTCTAAATTCTAATGCTTTCTAAAAAAGAAAGTCTTTTAAGTCTACCTCTAAGTTTTTTAACATTGGCCGAATCTAATACATTTGTGTTGATATTTTATGCTATCAAACCGTCTGAAGCGACTCTCTAATCTTCTGTACCACTAGAGCTGCTCCAACCTTTTCTGCTAACAATCTCTAAGTGCAAAACTACGCATCTATTTAAGCATCCTCATCTCTCAAATAGTTTACTTTTGTGTTTCTCTTTTAATGGACAATATTCTTAGTCACAAAGCATTGCCCAATGCATTCATCACCACCATATTAAAAAAGTTTATTACTGTTTGTTAAACCAGTTTTCATCACCACCAATAGATTTTGTAACAAAAAAATTATCTCTGAGGAAGTTTGAGACAACAATCCCTGATGTATTCCTAGGCTTCAACCATCATCATGAATTCTACTAATAATGTGAATATCTAAATTTTAAATCTGTATAATATTTTATTAATTATATTTATCATGCTTCATGTAATATATATTAAAATAATTTAACTAAATTATAATTGTAATGTCTACAAATTTAATTCAATTATTTAATTAAATAATGATAATTGAAACATAAATGTGATAAGCGAATTTTAAAATTGGGGAAGGAAAATTAACCTTTTACCTAAAACTCTAACACAAAAACAAGATGAGAAGTCACTTTTTCAATCCCATTATAAAATTCCACTAAGCTTTTCAGAAAAAGACCGGCAATCAGGAGCTGATGCGACAATCTAACTTTTTTTTTTTTTTTTCAAAATTACAATCCAACTTTCAGCAGCAAAATAATAGCCGTAAGAATAGACATATATATTTGTAACAGATTTGTTAGTGTAGCAAAATATAATATTATTAAAAGTATCTAAAACATGTGTGGGAATTTATTCTCCTGATTAGGGTATATATGTCATTTAAATTTACTATTTAGTCCTTAAAATGAAAAAAAATTGCAAAAACACGCCACCGACAGCTCTTAAACCTAAAAAAAAAAATTTAGCGGGATCTAATCACCGCTGTAATTACCGCCGTGTATTCACCGTTCAGAAAAATTCGAAAAAGAAATTCGTTTGACCACGCTGGAATATTCCATTTACGGCCATCGGAAACCCCTGAACTAAACTGCATTGCATGGAAGCTAGAAGCAAAACAGAATACTCACCTCTGATCGGCTTGGAAACTGCAGTCTTCACCACATGAGCAGCCTCCTTCGCGCCGCCGACCGCCGGAGTTAGCGACTCCTCCGGAGGGAACAGCACTGTATCGATCCCCTGCACCGAGATCCTCCCATCGGTGTAAATGTCCGGATCAAACAAATAAGCTGATCCCTCTCCCTGCCCAAACTTGACCGATCCATCCGCTTCTCTCGCCACAATCTTGTGCGGCAGCCGCAACGTATCGTACCGCACTTTCCCAAACCGACGAACTGCATTGTACATGCTCTCTTCCGTTTGATACTCTGGGATCAGATGATAGTAAATAATCTGCTCCGGCGCACCGGGTTCACTAAGCTGATCGGCCGTGAGTTTCGCCATGGCTTCATCGTTTGGAGCGAGGACGGTGAGGACATAGCCTTCAGACACTAATCGGCCCATCTCGGTGGCGAGGGAAGTCAGATTGACGAGAATGTCGGCGAATTCGTTGTACCCGCCGTAGAGGATTAGGGTTTGGATGAAATCCTTGATCTGGCGGTGTCCGTCGAACCAGTGCTTGCCGGAACCGGGGCCAGGGGCGGGAGCTGGAGCAATGTCGGGACCGGGAGCCAGGGCGTCGTAAATGGGGAGTGCAGGAGGGGAGCCGGCAGGGGATGGAGGAGCAGGTTTTTTGAGCCGGTGGGTTCGGGGATCGACTTCAGGAGCGCCGGTGGGGAGCACAGCAGATATTTCGGCAAGATTTCGCCGGCGATTAAAGTCTTCTTGTACGGATCTGGGAACGAGAAGGCGATCGATGCCATGGATGATGCCGTCGGGGCGGAGGACGGAGTCTGGGTGGACGACGCCTGCAACATCGGCGCGGTGGTGGCCGGATTTGGACGAGGTAAGGATCATCTGGTCTCCCGAGAGGGTGCGATGGCGCGCGGAGGGGAAGGAATCGTAGGGGATGCGGGAAGGGAGGAAGTGGAAGAGTAGTAAGGTTTGAAGGGATTTGAGGTTACCCGGTTCGAAAAGAAAGCGTTTGAAATCGGGATCAAGACCGCGTTCCAGGGCTTCGTTGCGGGGAGCGAAGACGGTGAGGTTGTGGCGGCCGACGGCCTCCTCTAGGGTCTGTAGAAGGAGGGCCTTCTCCACCAGCTCCGCTATCTCAGTGTAGTGGGAGTCGAGGAGTGCCACGAGGACCGAATTGGAGTTGATTTGGCCGCCGGAGACCGTAGGGGACGTCACCAGAGAGGACAATGCCGGCATGATTACGGTAAAAATTAAGGCGACCGTGAGGGGAAGCAGGAAGAAGCGGGCATTAAGTGGAAAATCCATGGCGATAAGCTCTTCTTTGCTTTCTTTCTCTACCTCGCCTTCAGAGGACGGAGCGAGGTGAGTGGGAAACTGGGAAACAGCTGCACTTCTTTTATATATTTTGAAAAAAGCGGTGTTGAAAACGAGACGCGGCGGGCTCGGTTGGGTAAAAATGGATTGCAGATTAATTAGTAAAAACAATCATGAGTTTTTGGGTAAGAAAAAAACGCTATTTATCGAGCATAGTTTTGGCCTAATTATAAAAAGAAGCAAATTTTTACGAAACTGAACGGTAGAATAGTGGTGTCAAATAAGGCGAATTATTACGTGGCCCAGATGTATCAGGGTGATGTAACACGTCTGAATTGATGTCAAGAACAATCCGAACACCGGACGTAATAATTTTCCATCAAATACGATCCGAAAATTCCACCAAAAAATTTTGAGTTTGGGAATCGGGTTGGATTCAGATTAGGGGTTTAACCGATTTTGAAAAATTGGGTCGGGTTTAGATTGACTTGGAAATCCGAAATCAACCCGATTTGATCCGTTTACTTGATTTAGGAGTGTTTTAGAAGATTATTATGAAATAAGTAAATGATTTTAAAAAAATAATAAATCATTTTGTCCAAATTGAATTAAGCTTGATTTATTTTAAATCGATTGAAGTAAATAGTACATTAATTCAATTTAGGTTTAAATAAATTGAATTAAATAAAAATATTGAATACCTAGCTAGGTACCGCTAGGTACTCAGTATTTGTGCGGAGTGCGGAGTGCGGGCGGGAAGAACCGTCCGCACAAGTATTGAATACCTAGCTAGGTACCGCTAGGTACTCAGTATTTGTGCGGAAGATGCACATTCCGCACCTAATAATTTTTCCACTAAGAGACATACATGTCCCAAGATGCCCTTAACTTATATAATGCGGAGTGCATAAAATTTTGCATCTTTCTATCGGATTGCAAAGGACTCAAGGAAGTTTTTGTTCTAAGAACTTGTTCCAATTTTTTAGGTATTTTATTTTCTCTTTAAACTATTGTTTAATGTAATATTTATGGATGCTGTACAAGGTAGTTAGTTTTCTTATATATTTTATTGAAGTTTTTTCTTTGTAGCTTTTATCTTTTGAGTTGTTAGGGCATCTCCAATCGAATGCTAAACGAGTGTATGGAGTCGTTCCGTCGCTCCAACCGAATGCTAAAATTTCCGCCATTTAATAGCAGGTGAACAGTGCGACGCCAATATTGGCGTCGCACTGTTCACTCACGCTATTTTTTGCTCTCAACCGGAAAAACGCGCGAAAGGGAGAGCGATCGTTACCTTCTCAAAAACACCTAAAATGACGTTCGATTGGA